ACACTTCCAGACAATCAGATAGAAGTATTATACTGTTTTCAGGTCCAATCGATATTAAATACCTTTTAGGGCCACCAGCGGCCGAGCAGTCGCTGAACACTGGTAGTTCGTTTCGAGGTTCAAATCCTGCGAACAGCCTAGCTGCATGGGCGTTTTCGTGATTTTCCCCATGTGTAACGTGTGTACGAGTCAATTTCTCTTAAAAAGTCCTTCACAAAGGCATCTCTCCCCTTAGGCCAGGGATTGGCAAACATTTTCCGTCGCGGGCCAAAAATCGAAAAAAAAAAAAAAAAACCGTTTGGCTGGCCAAGATAAATTTTTCTAAAATTTTAAAAACAATATGCAAGTATTACAATTTAAATATGTTAATGAGATGAATGAAATTGCGATTTCCTTTTAAAAAGTTCCTTATATTGAAGTTCGAAGTGATATGTACTGATTCTGAGGTACGAGGCTACATGCTCATCTGTCAGTCTACTTCTGAAATAATTCTTTCTAAGGTTCATACTTGAAAACACTTGTTCACATATATAAGATGAAGCAAATATAGCACTGATTTTCCTGGGCGTGAGATATTAAATTTAAGAAACTTACTTTCGATAATGATTTGTAAAACTCTAACTTTGGCATATTTAGAAACAACTGCTCGAGATGATTGTTAGATTGCAACTCATTTAATTTAAGCTGCAAATCTGACCTCACTGCTTCACAATTTACGTTGAAAGGGACGGTAAAAATATCCAATTCTATTTCAATGGCACTGTCTTGACATCTTCGTTCGAACTCAAAATGCAGTGTTTTTCAAATCACCTTCATAATTTTAAAGTTTCTCTTCATTTACAGAGGGTATTGCATTTAACCTCGGGAAATGAGACAAGTAGCTAGCTGCCCAGCAAAACAGATTAAGTTTTATTAAGTTTTAAGTTAAGATTACGTTTTTTTTTAAGAAGTCTAATTCACCTATATTGTATTCCCATATGTCTGCTCCCCGAGAAAGAGATATCGCTTGTTGGCGCCAATCTGCAGCTATAACTTAACAAAGAGCTTCCGCTTTTAACACTTTACCGATTGAAAGCTGTCTGTGCTTGCTATTTCCATCGATTTACGTTTCGTAGAACAAAAATTGAGAAAGTAAAAAGATCATCAGTCCTTTGAAGAAAAAGGAAGGAAAAAAAATAATATTTAAACAAAGCAAAAAAGGAGATGGATATATAATATACAAATATTATTTCTTTTAACTTGCCTCGGACTGGCAAATTGAAATTCTATCCGTGGGCCGGAGTTGGCCCGCGGTCCATAGTTTGCCCATCTTAGGCAGATGGCCCTAGTGTGTTTTTCCATAATTTCAATAAACCAAACCAAATACCTTATATTCGAACATCACTAATTAGAAGTTTGATCTTACGGAAAAGTTGAATAGAGAGAAAAGAAACTCTCATTAGGAAAATATATAAACATTCTCACTCAGAAAGAGAGACAAAACAAAAATAGTTGGAAAAAAAAATAACACGAATAAGAAAAGAAATTCTGATGATCGTTAAGAACTCATCGCAATCTGAAAGCGCGCTATCGTCGGGGAACTTGCGGCTTCTCTCGGCGCGATGCCGCAATGCTAAGATGTTAACGGATGCGAAAATTGATAACTTCCGAGTGTCGTTTGGCAGAGCTCCGAACATTATTCCACGCTCGCTTTACCAACCCAGTAACCCATTTCTTTGAGTTTCATTCTGCTGGAATGAACTTACGACGTTTGAAGAGCGAATATTCTGGAATTTTGAGCAGGAAGCAGCACATTTTAAGTTAGATGAAACAATACTGCTTTCAAAATTACATTATGCTAAAGAGTAATACTATTAATGTCCTGAAATTATTATTAGAGTACGTCGTTTAGAACCGTTTTTCCGAGCTCTTTACGCAGAGTGGAAGGTCATGTATAAATGAAACATCTTAATCTCACATATTGTAAACACATTTAGATCTTTCACATTAGTTTATAACTTAACAGTTTTAATACTCTGTGTTAATTTCTATGCCCCAACTTATCAGCAAATGATTACACAAGGTTAGCCACAACGTTACGTACATTCAAAAGCATGATGTCTCAACATTAAAAAGACCATCTTCAAATAATTCCTTAACATTATCTAATAATTCCGTTTCCTGAGCATTTTTCCAAGTATTTATTTGCAAATAATGTGCAGTGCTTTCATGTTTATTGCATATCAGTTTCTTTAAATCATTGGTTAGATTATTACTTTCTTGTACGAAGTAAAGGAAGTATTGTAATCACAATTTCGGGCATCATATTTCAATGAAAATATCTATTTTAACCGCTCTCGAAGCCATTTGAACGATGCTTTTGTGGGACATCCGTAGGTACGGACAGAATAAAGTACTCTGGCTTTTGCGGGACATCCGTAAGTACGGACAGAATCTGTTTTCCAAAAAGGATTGTAAAATGGCTTTAAAATGGATTCAGAAGAAATTTTTTCATGATATTTATATCTACGTACGCATGTATGTACAGGGTGTCCATAATTAAATTTGAAATTTGCGAACAGTTTGTAGCAAAAACTACGCAGTAGATTTGCATGAAAATTGAGTAATGGCAGAATGAAATGATGGGAATTTTAATCGAGGGGAAAAAACAATGAGTTTCAAAAACTACCACTAGGTGGCGTTGTGCAACGTAAACTATACGAATGTCGTAACCATAGTAATCCTGTGCGCGCATAGCAACCCTATAAATTTGCGAGAGGCGAACCGCAGTCATACTTTTAGCTTGAATATTATTTTTGGAGATTGATAAAACTAATGCTGTGAGATTTTTCGCATTGTGATGATATAGTAGTGTTGTAAATAGGTTGCTTAGGTTGTTGTTGAGTTGCTGTAGTGTATTGCGTTGAATAGTTGTATTTAAATTGTGTTGTATAGTTGTTTTGTATTGTGTTGTTTTTAGCACTATTGATTGAGGTTGTTTAGTTGTATTTGAATTTGTCATTGGAACTATTGCTGTAGTGTATCTTCTCATATTGTTATCATTGATTTTGCATTGTCTTGGGTTCTTCTTGAAAGCTATGATCGCTCGTCACGTTTTGCGAACTTGTCAGATTGGATTGTCTTGCTCCTTTTGGTACTTCTCTTCTTTCCCTTTTCTCCGTTTTCTCATCTGAGATTTTCTCCACGTCCGGATTTCTTTATGTCAAGTGCCCTTGGGCTTTATTTCTGGAACCGGGAACATTGCTCTTCGCAATAGTTCGGTCAGTTATAGAGTCTAAGTCGCAGTCACACTAGACTTCAAGTCAAGGAAGATGACATTGACTCTACAAGAACGCGCCTTATTGGTGAAATTGTTTTATCAAAACGGAGACTGTGCTACCGAAGCTTTGCGGAAATTTCGGTCTTTGGAAGCGGTTACGAAAACGTCCACTCACTAGTCTAGGATTAGCAAACACAATTAGGAAATATGAAGTATTGGGAACGTTGGGGATTCAGCCAGGAAAGGGACGAAAGTGTGTTGCAGCACAGCTAGTGGATGATGTAGCGACGCAAGTGGAAGAAGACAGATCGCAAACCATCGGCCGCACTACTGTTCGGCGTATTGCAGCATCTGTTGACTTACCTCGTTCCACGGTTCATAAGATTCTTCAAAAGGTCTTACGCTACTATCCCTATAAACTGTCGCTAGTGCAGCAGCTCTTACCAGCTGATATGGATAGTCGACAACATTTTAGTTGCGGTTTCTTGCGCGAGTTGAGTTCCAGGATGAATGGCCATGGAACATTTTGTGGATCGACGAGCCCCAATTTTCTATGGATAGTGCGGTTAACACGCACAATTACCGTATTTGGGTTGCTACAAACCCACATCAATCTTCGCATGTAACGGTTTGGTGCGGCTGTACCGCAACCTTCATTGTGGGTCCATTTTTTTCGAAGAGCACAGTGTCGCAGGGCCTGTGACATGCACCGTCAGCGGTCAACGATACGCTCCATTATTAGAACAATTCTTTATTCCGGCTCTTCAGACAAGGTGATGTGATACAACCACAGTATTTATGCAGGATGGTGCTCCTCCACACATCGCCCGTTGTGTGAAACAAGTGCTCGGCCGCTATTTCGGTGACGACAGAATCATCAGCCGGCAATTCCCTACAGCTTGGCCTCCTAGATCCTTGACTTGAATCCTTGCCACTTTTGGCTGTGGGGATACCTCAAGGATATGGTCTACCGTGATACAATCACATCTCTATCCGCCTTAAAGAAAGCATAGAACGCCATGTGCGTAACATTCCCCAGTTCATGCTGCTTCACTTTTGTTAGTCTAATACTCTTATAGCGAAAATTATTTCTTGTTTTGTTTCAGTTTATTTTTAAAATGTCATTAAACTTTTCATGCACAGCGTGAAGTCATCTTTTTAGATTATACTTTTCATGAAAAATTACCAGTAAAAACTTTATAAAAATAATTTATTAATGACCTTTGTTAGTTAACTATGTCGATTTAAAATTCTATTAAGTGCTATAAGTTGCATTAATTTTCTATGCTTAAGTCTCCTTACTTTTTCAGCAAAAATTTATTAGTTATTAAAAATATGAAAGTAAAAATTATCCTTCTTTCCATCTTGCGCTTACAAATCATTAGGAAAATATCCATTTACAGTTATTAAAGCCTGAAAAAAGCATGTCTGCGATGTTATCGTCATGCGATGATTTGTAGATACTTTATTTTTTACCACGATATTTTCGACGACGATGTTTTTTAAACTGCGAAGTCTTGGAACCGCTTTATTTTTGACCGCGATATTTTGTATGACGATGTATTTTAGAACTGCGATGTTTTCTCTTTGCTATGTTTTCTCCCACGATGTTTTGTAGCACGACGTTTTACCCTTGCGTTGTTTTCTCCGCGACGTTTTCGTCCGCGATATTATCGGCGGACACCATGGGAATTTAATAATTTATTAGGTTTATAACGTATTTTCTCCCTCTTTTCATCATGCCTTAGTGGTGCAATTGGAAGCATACTCGACGCGCATTCGAGAGGTCCAAGGTTCGAGTCCGGGCGAGGGCACTGCACATTTTTTCACATCTCCTGCTTCAAAAAACAAAACCTAACGATTCTACGAATAGCGCACGAACTAAAACGTGGTGGACAATAATTCTTCACCACCAAAATATGGCGATTTATTTCCCTAATCCCTAGTCGCCCTTTAAATGGGGGAGTAATGTAAGGTGAGTGAGTGAGTGAGTGAGGGCCACCAAGGAAGACCACTGACCTGGCCTTAGCCTCACAGTGTGTTATCTTCCTGGCAGAAACCATCTACTCTCTGCTCCACCTTGCTTCAGAAACGCAGCCGAATAAACGGCTAAGAGCCTTATAAAGCCTACATGTAAGCTTGGATGTTGTTGTTCTGGGAAAGAGTATCCTGTTAGGAACTACTTAAAATTAAGCAAAGAAGCAAACAAAAGACTGTTAAGAATCGCTGTTAGAATAGACAGAAACTTGTGTTAGATAAAGTAAAGAAAGGAGGACTCTGCCTGAAAAGTTAACTGCCGTGGATTTTCTGGACTTGCTAATTGTCTACATGCGGATGCTAATCCTGACAAAACTGTAATATATTTATCGGATTTTTGTAAAGTCGTTGGTTCTGCATTTAAAAACAAATCCTAGCACCCAAACGTAATTTAACTCAGATTACTTTCCATGTGCCTGACTCTTAGGTAAGAACATTTAAAAGATTGTATAGCTGTTATCACTAAGATAACAGAATCCTGCATAATTTAGTTCTTTGCGCAAATTTAACTGAAGTTGTTTTCCAGCATGTCTTCGTGGCGTAACGGTAGCACACTCGGTGCGTACTCGAGAGGTCCAGGTTCGAGTCCTCCGCGCAGGGATTGTGTATTTTTCACGTCTCCTGCTTCAAAACAACCTAATGACTCTACAGCTTATATTAAAACCAGCTAATTATTTTTGCTATTGTCTTATATTCCCTTTGTGTTTTATTTTGATATTGCGATGAGTCATATTTTATAATCGTGATTTCTGTGATAATAATGGTAGTACCCTGAGGACGCTGCCTAAAATAAAAGCCTGCGTACACACGAAATAATAATAATAATAATAAAATAATCTTTCGTGTAAAATCATATTATTGGTAACGGAGGAAAAGAAGTTAACATCCTTCCCCGACAGCAATTAGCTTTAATTGCCTCCGAAAGGATGCTTTCAGAGAGGACTTTTAAGGAAATTGGCACAAATTTGTTTTCCAAATTAGGAAAACCTCTAAAACAATAATGTAATGAATCCGATGAATCGAAAACGGAATTGAGACTAATCGGGAATCTTAGTCAACATCCCGGACGGTATGGTCAACAGCGAAGGACGATTGCTAGCCGGGAACGAAAGGTACGCGCTCGAATCCCATGTAAAGCTTGGTTGTATGCGTGTTGTCTTTCCCCCCTTTTTTTGCATTCGGTAGACCCTTTCTTATCATCAAACCCCTTTTCCGAGTGATTAACACAGGTGAATAATGAGTGTTCAACCTGGGTTTGATCCGACGCGAACGGTCTAATTGCATGGTTGGTTTTTGAGATTTTCCTCATATGTAACGTCAATATGACCCAGTTTCTCTAAGAAAGTTCTTTGCTTTAGGTAGATAGCCTCCTATGCTTAGCCATAAACAAGAAATATACCCTCCGCTCTTCTTTCTTGTGGTAACATCAAACGTTCTCTCCGGTGGTACATCCTGGACAACATTCTTGATAACGAGAGGGCTGAAATGACTGTCCCTGTAAGAGAAGTCGTTGAAGAATTGTCAGAAGCACATGACTGTTAAGTTCGCCATAATTCCTGCTGAATACTTATCAAGTAAGTCTTGAGACCGGTAGGAAGAGGCCAAATAGCAAATACTTGGCCATGCCGATGAACGATACTGAAGTTAATCTACATTCGGTGAGTTCGCCATAATAACTGCTGAATACTTATCAGGTAAGTCTTGAGACCGGTAGGAAGAGGCCAAATAGAAAATACTTGGCCATGCCGATGAACGATACTGAAGTTAATCTACATTCAGTGAACAAAATTTCGGCCTCAACCAAAATCAGAAATATTAAAATATGGATGAAATTTGATGGCACTAAAAACCGATTTTGTATTAAAAATCTAAGTAGGAGATTAGTTTCTCTTGCTGTTCTTTTGCATTTCAACTGAAGAAAGAAAAGAAATTATTCAGAAACCATAAAATGTTTTTGGCAGAAAATATTTTAATCCTGTTACTCATTAATTGGTGTAGACCATACGGTTTCTTTTGCGGTGGGATTTACATTGTAGACTGTAATTATTTACTAAATAAAAATATCAGTTATAAATCGTTAACACAAATATATTTGAAAAATTAGTAACACTTTTGAATTCGAACTTCAATGCAAGCAACAAAAGAATTTCACATGCAGAAATGAATTTAGAGAAAGAAACTATAAAATTATATAAAACGTTTAATTCTACTGTTTCATTAATAGCAAAACCAGATAGTGCTAAAAAACTGTTGCAAGCGTGAGGGTTCGTAAGAGATTGAACGCACACAGGTCCAATGATAACTTGATAAAATTTATTTTTTCAAAAGGAACAATTCGCAGTTCTGGAACTTTCCATAAAAATACTCGTACAACTCTTCGCAATATCACAGAATACAATCAGTAGTTACGCTTTAAACGCAACTCAATGATAAATTAATTATATTTTTTCAATTACAACGCCAATTCCAGTTATACCGGACCCAAATGTCGCCGAATGGTCGCCAAGTTTGGCATCTTTTTCCGGTTCCTCGCCAGTTTAGCGACATAGATATTTACTCAATTTTAAATATATTTGCCCCTGTATTCTTATTTTTCCGACGAAGCTTCGCTCCTTTAGATTTTCATACAATATCCATTGCGCGCGCACACACACACACACACACACACACACACAAAAAAAAAAAAAAAAAAAAAAAAAAAAAAAATAATAATAATATAATAATAATAATAATAAATAAATAAATAAATAAATAAATAAATAATCTGAAAGATTTCAGAGTTTAAAATTACGTCCAACAGAGCGTTTTTTGTTTCTTTTAAAGTTTTTTGTGTTACCTTTATTTATCAAATATCATGTTCTTTGCACTCAAACCATAAAATTCAGTTCAAGAGCAATGTCGCAAAATAATTTTAAAATGAGACTATCTTTAGAATTTCCGATACGCAGCCTCGCGCGCTGGGGATAAAAATGCTGTTTCTGTACAACGTTGCCACTGCTCGCTTTGAAATCCTTGAGTTTGTTAATCAAAGATTCGTTAAAGCTTTACAAAATATGAAATTGATAATAAAACAAATTCCAAATTAGGGCTACCAGATTCCTATATTCGGTGAAAGATTACGTTATTGAAAATTGGATGGCTCTAGGTCCGGTGTTTTATCACAATGAGAGAAACATACATACTTCATTATCGGCATATTCTTCATTATTTAATTTATTTAAATATAATACAAGGCGATAATATTTAGTGGCAACAATTCGAAAAGTAAAACAACGCTTGTAGTGAACAACACAAAATGCCAAAACGAAATGAATAGTCCTTCTGGGCAAATTGCCCCTTTGGACTAATAAATAAATCACAAATAAATTCACTAAAATTATTTACATATGCACACAATTCGCAACAATATTAAGCTAGAGAAAGAGACTTCCAAACAGCTGCACAGCAGTTCTTTTATCTCATTTTTGAAGATGATTCAAAAAATGGTTGTCTTGAATGTCTAGGATTTACACTAGTCTTACTACTGAATATGACAAATATCAAAACTGTGAGACGAGGCTAACTCCAGCTGAATCAACGCTCGTAAGATGTAAACAGTTCTCTGTTAGATGAAAAATCTGGGAGATGAAAGTTAGGAACATTATAGGGGAGATGGTACTTATTTATTACCATGTTGAAATCGTAGTCGAAATATAAGATTACGCAGTTACCCTGAAGATTCATTTAATATATCAGCAAGCTGTTATTTTATTTACGTTTCTCTCAAAGTCTCCGCATCCACATTCCAATAAATTCTCCGGGCTTAAGATTAAAGAGAGCTTCATCGAAGTAACTCGGTAAATAAATACCGACACTTTCTAAGTGGTAAGAGTAGCAATAAGCGAAGTGACAAGAGACAAGTTTCGAGTATGACAATATATACCTCGAGCTGTGTAAATACCTTATTTATCTGAGAGTTAGAAGAACGGCGTCGTGAGGAGAAAATATCTCCGTTTCTTAGTGAATGAAATAAAATGGTATTAGAGAAGGAGTGTCAGTCTTGCATTTAATTAAAAAGCGAATTAGAAAGCTGGTTTGTTAGTTAATATTTAATTTGGAACAAACTTTTAAGGTAACATTTAATTTTGACTCGCAATCGGGCGGTCTGGAGTTCGAATACATGTAAAATCATTGCTGATTTTTCATAATTCCTGTTACGAAATGAACCCAAAGACTTTATACTACATATTACTTCTTTGTAGGAAGTAAAGAAAATATTGTAATTACAAATAATAATAATAAAAAAAAAATCTGAAATGTTTCAGATTTTAAATTACGTCCAAAGGGGCGTTTTTTAACATTTTGTGTGTTACCTTTCTTTATTAAATATCATGTTCCTCGCACTTAAACCATAAGATCCAGTGCAACAGCAATATCGCAAAATAGTTTTAAAACGAGCATATCTTTAGAATTTCCGATACAGAGACTCACGCGCTGGAGATAAAAATGTTTTTTCTGCACAACGTTGCCATTGCTCGCTTTGAAATCCTTGAGTTTGTTAATCAAAAATTCGTCAAAGTTTTAAAAAATAGGAAATCGATCATAAAACAAATTTTAAATTTCAAATTTGGTCTTCCACATGCTCATATTCGTTGGAGGATTACGTTATTCAAAATTCGATGACTCTATGTACCGTTATTTTATGACAATGTGAGAAATATACATACATTTATGCAGATTTTTCATTATTTAATTTCTTCAAATATAATGCAGGACTCTAACATTTTGTGGCAACAGT